TCTTTTCAGGGTTCCAAGTAACACCCCCAAAGAAAGAAGACTCCGAGGCTAGAAGTTCCTCAAAGTTCCATTTTATTGTTGTTGTTGTTATTAGTTGCGAAGTCGTGTCCGACCCATCATGACCCCATGGACAACGTTCCTCCAGGCCTTCCTATCCTCTACTATCCTCTTTAAGCTCACACCTACTGTTTCAGTGACTCCATCCAGCCACCTCGTTCTCTGTCATCCATTTTATTAGAGATATCATATTGGCACACCTGGGAAAACCCGAATCTGAAAGCTTCCAGGGTTTCCCCACCCAAAGAAAAGTCCAAGTCCCTGCCCAGCACTGACACGTCCATCACACATGGTCCAATCAATGCACCGTCCCAATTGGAGATGCCTCCCAGTCGCACCACACCAGGTGCAGGGCAAGTTGTCTTTGACTCTCGGAGAAAGGAATGTTATTATGACTATATATCTCCCCTGCTCCATACAATCCCCCCTCCCAGTTTCCCACAGCACTAAATGTGGCAAGCCTGAAGATCCAATGCAAAAGGTGGCTTTCAGGCCTGACACTCTCAGTATGGGTCATGACAAGCATAAAAAATTACAAATTGATGTTTAAACCAGAAAGAGATGTCTCAGAAGGTAAATTGCTAATTGCTCTTAATGCCATTCTAGAGGTTATGTCAGTTAATCACTTAGTCAATCAAATAACAACCAACTTTTGTTTTAACTACAGAATGGTTTAGTCTGCAATCCATTTCTATCTTCTTCTCTAAATTAAGCAGATAAGAGACTCAGGTACTTAACACTATTTGAGAAAATACTAATATCTGCGCAGCCACATATGAAACTGCTTCAACCTCAAGATCTAATCAAAGAGAGAAGGACCCTGCTCACCTGCTCCCATCCCCAGGAGAGCACATGAAAATCTTGTAGCCTTGCGTAATGGTGTATACACAGAAAAGCAAAACTGACTCTGTACAGTAGTGAAATACGATATAATTTTCTTTATATAGTAGACAGGGACTAAATCACATTCCCAAATAAGACAGAACAAAACAAAATAAAAGAATCAAAAGGTAAGAAGAATAAGATAAAACAATTAAAAAATAAAATACTTTAATAATTAAATGTAAAAACACATATACAGATTGTATAGTGATATAGTTAATTTTTTAGTTGGTTAACTCTATCCAGGGCAGCTGATGGCTCAGCAGTTAAGACACTGGGCTTGTTGGCTTATTGGCTTGTTGGCTTGTTGGAAATCCCAGGTTCAAGATCCAAGCACTGTGTAACAGGGTGAGCCCCATCTTTGCCCCAGCTCCTGCCGAACTAGCAGTTCAAAAGCATGCAAATGAGTAGATAAATAGGTATCCCTTCTGTAGGACAGTAACAGTGCTCTATGACATCATGCTGGTCACATGACTACAGAAATGTCTTCAGGCTCAATGGCCTTGAAACAGAGATGAGCACCGCCCCCTAAAGCTGACTACGACTGGGGGAGTAAAACCCACAGGAACTCCTTTACCTTTTAAAAACTTATCCATGACATAGGGAAAATATACAAAAGGATAGCTCTTAATGGCATTTAATATATAATCACTTTTTTTTTTTGTGAAATCTGCTAATTCCAAATCATTCAAAAGGAAAATGTCTTTGTTTATCTCACACCTGGAAAGCATTCTGGTGTCTGTAGACAATCCCCCTGCATAGCTTACTCACGGATGACTATGAACAAAAACTAACTAAAAAGCTGGTAACGCTGCAGTTCTAAAACTGAACAAATATGACACCTATATGGAACATTCCACAGAAGATGGAAATTATTTTAGGAATAAATCTCCCTGTAGGCTATAGCTGAAGACATAGTGACATACTGATTGAATACTGACGCTGCCCTGCAACAGGTGGAACATTGTTTCAAGATCATGATAGATTATTGAAGCCAGTGGCTTATTGTTCCAGTACAACTCATAGATCCACATATGCCCAAAAAATTTGTCCAAATTTAGATGGAGTGTTTTACAGCAGTGTGGGCGTGCATATATTTTGAAAAGATATTTTTGAACAGGAATCCTTCCAATCTAAATATAAGTCATAAATTATTCATTTCCAGATAAATCGCAAATATTTGGACTGGGTTCCTATGAGTTGTCAGAATTCTTCTCCAGATGATGAGTTAAAACCTATATATACAAAATGTTGCCCAGGTAAAACACTTATAGTTGACTTAGATGCCATTGAAATTAATGAAGCAGTACTGCATATCTCAAAACATGAACAGTAAATAGTTGGCTATTACACGCAACCCATTCTTTGTTTGTTTGTTAGTTTTTTAAAAGGAAGCTTTATAATATTATAGGAATTAATTAATCCTTGTTTCACCTACAGCCATTTAGACATCATAAAATGTGGAGGTCATGCAAGACTATTTGATGGCAATGATTTCCTAGCATTTGCAAATAAGCTAGGAGTTTTGCTAGAATAAATATTCTCAATGAAAAGAAATTTTATCAATGCCAGAGAAACTCTAGAAAGCCTGATATTTGTAAACTTGAAGGTCATAAAAGCAGTTTTACACTATTTCCCAAATATTTGGTATTTACAGGCCTCAGTTTTATACACTGCCATTAGTTACTTTAAAGAATAATAACAAGATGGAGATATCCTGAGCAATTTATAAACACAATGGAAAACTACTCATATGACAAGCAGTCTATAATTTTTACAAATTATTAGACAAGCAGAAAGTGTGGTTCAAACTAGGAAGAATAGAAAGGTCCATTTTATAAATCTCCCAGACTTTGGGAAAATATTACAAGTTTTTGGTTTTAATATTATTCTTGAAGAAAATATTATTTCTTAATATTATTTCTTAATTAATATTATTCTTGAAGAAAACATAAAAAACATCAAAAAAGAACACAAATAAGTTTTGTGAACACCATTTTCGAAGAAGATATTACTCATTAAATTTTCAATGAATGTACAATAGGAGAGGTTTGTATGTATGCATAAATAGTGGAGAACAATGTTTCCTGTGTATACCGTAAACATGCGTTGCATTTACTAAATCCCAGTTGTAACTATATGAAGGTATTGCTGGGTTTTTGTTTTAAAGGCGCGGTTTCTAGTTTCAACTTTTTGTTTACTATTCATCAGAGAGCAAAGTCTAAATGTTGAAATAATGTAGGGTGTAACTATTTGCAGTTTTCTCTTTCTGTGAAGTACTGCATGTATTTATAATTTGTATTTGTATAGTGGAGGGCCCTATTCATAATTTGCAAAAACCTTGATAGGCTTCACTTGTTGATAGGCTTCAACTGTTTTCAGTTATGTTATGTTCCCCTAGCATTAGACACTAAAACGAAGTGTTCTGGAAACAGGACAAAGTAGGTCCAAACCCTTTCTATCCTGGCATCAAGCACCTCAGTTACATCAGCTGGATTTGTTATTGTGCCTCTTAATTACTTTAAACGAGGGAACAAAAAATATCTATGCCCTGACAATACACTGTATTCTTCATGACTGATTTTTAAGCCTTCCTTTCCAACAACCACAACAAATACTTTCCTCTACCATTTGTTTTCAAATGCAAATATGTTAATGAAAAAGTAGAATTGGGCATTGCTTACTCTTTGATTAATTGTCCCAAAAGTGCTTTTTCAAGAGGCGACTGGACTTTCTGAGGCTTCTTGGATGGGAAGTGAAACATCTTCAAAGAGAGAAGATTCTTAGATTAATTTTTGTTTTTTTTTAAAAAAAAACTTTTTTTACTACATGTGTGATACTTAATTTTTAAATTACAGTGTTTGAAATTTTTAAGAACAAAAAACTATTTCTCAATGGGGAAAAGAACCAGTATCATACCCTGACCCCAAGCATACTTATTTAGAAATCTGCCCCATTTATCTCAATGGAATTTTACTTTACATGTTAACTTCCTGCCATTCTGACTTCTATTGCTGGAATTTGTAAAGGTCTACAGTTTCTTTTACTATTTAAGTACTATAATATAGTACTATAATATAAATATAATATAAATGGACTACCCACTTTTTCTTCCTATTTCCAGAAAAGAATAAAAAAGAAAGAAAAACTCACAGCAGTTGTTATAAAGCAATATGTTAGAGATTTTATATATTATTTTAGCAGACTAGGCCAGTGGCATCTGTAGGATTCTTCTCCAATACATATAGGAAAGGGGCAGGACTGGTGACAAGCAGTGGTGGGTTGCTCACCGTTCGCACCGGTTCGCAAGAACCGGTAGTAAAAAATTTTAATAGTTCAGAGAACCGGTAATAACATTGGCTGGCCACGCCCCCGAACCGGTCCCTGGCCCGTTTGCCGCTCGCTTACCCCGCCCACCTCATCAGAGGCTTTTTTTTTTTTAACTTTTAAAAGCATTTTTTCTATAACCACTTCGGCTGAAGAGGCTGTAGGGAAAAAAATGCCTTTAAAAGCCTCTGGCGATCCCTACTGAGTTGCCTGATAGTCAGAGGCTTCTAAAAGCATTTTTTTCTGCAATCTCTTAAGGTTGTAGAAAAAATGCTTTTAAAAGTAAAAAAAAAAAAAAAGGTTGGTCATGCCCACCCAGTCACATTACTCCACACCAAGCCACGCCCACGAAATAAGCCATGCCCACAGAACCGGTAGTAAAAAAATTTAGAATCCACCCCTGGTGACAAGATAGCACTGCTTTGATCAGCATGACACACCTACGGCCCCTACACACAAAGACCCCAGTACCACTGGGTACCGCTTCACTTTCCTAAACTGTAAACAATTATAAAGTTAGATATTGATACTTGGAAGAAACATTATTGTTATTGGTCTAACACTGAAATATTAAACAGCAATATTGAGCAGCTGAGATACATATAATTGAAATTCTGAGAAAGAAGAATTATTTATTGTATTAAATTTGGTTCAAGTTATTAAAGCATTAGGTCTAAACTACTTGCAATGAAGAAATATGTACCTACTTTATTCTCACTACTCCTAATTCACAGACATAGCTTAATTCTTCAGTTAGACGCTGCCAGAGAAGCAAATGATGGTGCCAAAATGCAGAATTTGTACAAGATGGTGGACAAGGTGGATGCTTATCAGAAAAAGCTTCTGGACAACTGGAAAGTTAAGCAGAATGTTGTAGAGAAGCAGCGCCAGCACTGCCTTACAAAAATGGTTGATCTGTTTGCCCAGGTAAGCCTACAAGTTTGAATTGACAGCATAAAGCCTCAGAAGTATTACCTAGGCTAATAATCCACTGCTTTTCCACAGCTCTGGAGAGCTCATAAGCACTCATCGAATTCCCCATCCTCTGATATTTTGAGACACTTGTCATATCTGCACTTAGCGCTTACACTGTTCCTGCCCTGTGTTCATCCTGGCTTGGCTCAAAGGAGTTTATGAAAATCCTCTCAGGACTGAGGTACTTTGGCAGCAGCTTGCAAGGTCAGTCTGGACTGCAGATTGCCACATCCTTCCATTGGACAATTCCCCTGCAGCTGTGCCCTTCCACCTTCCTCTTCCAGGAAAGTTATGGCCAACCATTTTCCTTCCTATTTATGGTTCTTCTATCATATCTATATTTTTATAATTGCCTATGTGTATGTATGCACAGACATGTTTTATGCATGCAGAAAAGTAATGTATACAAAGTGCAGATACAAGCAATGGCTTTTAAAAATCCTTTACTGCTGTCTATTTCTTTCTAATATCTTTTTAGACTTACTATTATTACAAATACCATAATATGTTTGGAGGTTGCCAATTTGTTCGGAGATTGCCAAATTGAAGTACTTTGATGTCATGATTCACAATCATTCTACATTGGGGAAAGTTTAGAGAATAAAGAAACTTGTTTATAGTAGCTTAAACTCACATGATGTTCATATAGCTTATTAAGCCCCAATGTGTTATTGTGTATTGCATGTAACCCTAGTTAATTGTTGCTGATTATAATGATGGTTATAGAACAGATAATGATTTAGCATGATGTATGAATCCAGTCAGTAAGTTCTATTTTGCAATATAAATGAAGATAGGAATCTGATGTTCATGATGGGGATGTTAATCCCAATGCTAGAATTAATTTATAGACAAGTATTTTTACAGAGAAAAGTATACTTTCTTGATTTGTGTTTGATTTAGCCAGTTAGGAGTCCAAACCAACAATCTGATTCAGATCCAACTTTTCAAAATGATGGTATGGATGAATCGAAATAATAGACAATTAATAATCCATAGTGAGGTGCAATAAATTTTTCTTTCTTTCTGTCCTTGTTATAGCTCCATTCGAGTGCCCAACTCCATCTCAACAATCCATGCCTATTGATAGTTAAAGCAGAAGATATCACAAAGAAGGAGACCTTCCACATGCCTCACATTAGACCAGACTTCTTGAAGACTAAGGTTTACAAAAGCCCCCTGATTAGGGTGAAGAAATCCCAAGATTTCACAGTAACAGCTATGGTCAGGTATGGCTGAAAAAAAACCACAGGGAGAGAAGGCTACAATGGGGAAAATCGTTTAGTTATATTCCTCACATCAGATAACCTAAATTTCCTGTAGGAAATTATTTTTAAAGTTATATTCAAGCACAATATCAAATGAAACCATCAAGATTGTTCATGGCAATAATATCAATACCATTTTCATCAAACCCCATAAATCATTAAAATATAGTTGAATCAGTAACAAAACTATGATTTGATGTCCCAAACATGCTTTGAAGCATGAATGTGTCTTTTCTGAGGATTGCGTGCAAATCTGGAAAACCACAATTGCTGTGATGTAGTTGGATGCTACATTTGTGCTCTTGCAAGCTCTAAAATATCTTTGCATCTGAAGCATTGCACAGCTGTATTATTTTCTGAAGCTCTTTATAAAAGGGAAGTGTTAACTTTTTCATAGTCTTTGAAAAATTAATAGTGGATTTTTCTGATGAGACTAAGTTGAAGAGGGTGCTCCAAAATTATTCCCAGAACTTTTAAGAATATAATGTACCTTTTTTTAGTCACTGTATTGTTTGAAATAATTAATGCCCGAAATACATCTTATAGAGAAATGCCTATAGTATAGTACTAATAGTCTAATTGCTGGGAGTAGACAGTTGAGAGCCAATGAAGCATCACTTATTATGCTAAGACATAATCTGGTTGGTTGATTTTGGCTAATAGTGTTGTGTGAATCCAGCCATTGTATTTTGAGAAACATAGTTCATGGCTCATGATTTATTATATTGTGTACATCCACTTAATTTTATCATATTCATCACGCCATAGCTAAACAAACCATGCCAATTTCTCTGTTAATTGTTTTTTATTCTCTGCAGAGCTATTATCTCATGTTAAATATATAAGAATTTGTACATCATTTTATTAAACTGTATTAAATAGATTACTCCAATATTTTTCCATTTGCATTATAATTGTATTTTCTCTACAGAAGAAAGCCAAGCAGCGAGCAAATAGAATCACTGTGGAAGACCGATATCACAGAACTGAGTTTTCCCCTTGGACCCAAAGCACCTGTGTCTTTTCTGTGGTCTGAGACCTCTGGCTTTCCAGATATTCCTAGATTTTTGGAATTAGACATTTCCTCTGTGAGGGGGAAGCCCCTTCGATATATGGAGACTCGGTAAGTGGCCTTGCATTAAGGAATCTCTGTGATGACAGCTGATATAAGTGATGAAGATTTAATGCAATATTTTGTGATTTTTCTCACACTGATTAAAGAACATCAATCCACAGCAGCCTCAGCAATTTATCTGATGTGATGCTTCTGCCATTATCATTCTCAGAACTTTTTTTGCTTCCATAGATATCTCGGGCTGTCACCTTTTCTAGCAGCCAGTTCTTGAATAATGATGTTTTCCCCTCCTGCCTCTATTTTAGATAGTTGTTTTAAAGATGAGAAGATGACCCCTCTCCTTACCTAACTCTCTTCATAGATATATCCAGGGTATCTCTATGGCATATGGGTAGGCAACCATTGACTCTACACATGTTTTTTGTATGCCCACCACCAAACGTAAGCAACAAAATGAGTGAAATAGTTTCCCACCATTCTAAAACAGCCAGCACATAGAAAATTAATGAATGACAGCAAACAAGTATACCATAAAATTAGGGGGGGGGGGGGAGGATAGCATTTTCATATGTATGATGGAAATTTTTCCCATTGCCATGCCCATTGCATCCTCTCAAATGTTGGTCCATGGCCATCCAAAAATGGCTTACCTCTGTCAATGATTATGACCCTGGCTCAGAAGGACAACCTAGCCCTTAGTTGTTCTGTTAGCTCTTTATCCAGATCTAAGGCCCCATAGCAAGATCATTTTGATTGCTTGCCACTCTCCTCACATTCTTACTTTAGTCAAATACTGCCTCCTTTCTGTCAAGGATCCCAGTTGCTTTGAGATGAAGAAATGAAGCAGCTCTTCCTGCTCCAATCATGGAATTTTATGGAGTCTCCATGTCACTAGCTCATCGTCGCCTCCTACCTGGCATTGCATGAGGCAGTTTTCAACAAGTCTTAAAGCACACCATCTCATGACAGGACCTCCATCTCTCTCTCTTACCTCACAAGGCTGCTTTTGTGGAAATAAACAGGAGGGATATTCTGAATGCTGCTGTGAGCTCTCAAACGAAAGATCAGATTTATATCTAAGATGAAAAATGCATACATTTCATCCCCAGAACATTACAGAGAGAGCTGATGTTAATGTAATGTTTCATCTCTTCTAATGTAAATCTTATCATACAATCTACAGTGCCCCAATGATGAGGCTAATGATACAGTCAGATCATGGCTATGTCCAGCTCTAACTGGCCATTTAAGTTTGCTACAGATACATATTCCTTCCTTAAGTCATTGGGGGCTGCCATCAATGGCCATTTTGACCTGGGCTATGAACTAGACAGGGCAATTAGTTTGCATAGTCTTTTCTGTATTATATTGATATCTAAATATTGATCTTCTGAAAGATTGGTGCTTTCCAAACAAACATTGGATTCCTAAGAGATTGGCATACTTGAGCCAAAAACAAACAAATAGAATCCTTGCTGACAGGTTGATGGAGGGTAGGAATGCACTGTTAGCTTTAGACCACACTAGAAAGCAAGGTTATGAATACTAATATTACTTTTATTATATGATTACAATAAAATAATGTTTCCGGTCTGAATATATGTCCCCGCTCTCTCTTTTTCTTTGTGAGAACTAGGGAAAGTCAAATTTAAGAGATTTTTTTTTTTCAAATTACATTTCTGTTTTAAACTCATTTTTTAAAAGATCTCACTGTTGTCTTGGCTGTGTCTCTTCTTCCTGTTCCTCAAGGTTACTTTTACAGTAACTGGAGATAAACCAGCTGCAAACAAGAGCAAGAAAAGCCTGAAATAGCCCTGAACCTTCCCCCAGATTTCTGCCTGTTGGGCCCACTTCTGAGAGTTGTGAATTGACTAACTGTCCTATTATCAATCAACTCGAAGATTAAAATTAATCTTTTTTACTCTTATTATTTATAGGAATACTGCTCTCTTGTCCTCTTGCCAGACCCTATTTCTTGGATTGAACTTCAAGAAAGATTAGATATTTATATTATACAGAATAGACCTGTCAGCAACCTTTCTATTTGCTAGTTATCATAGTATTAAGGGAGTTTCATCCTGATTGATAATTCTGTCTCCATATGAACTTCATCCTTGACTGACAGCTCTCTCCCTCCCTCCCTCCCTCCCTCTCTCTCTCTCCCTCCCTCCCTCCCTCGTCCTGTAATTCTATGGTAACCCCACCCCCCCAAAAATCTGGTTGGTTGGTTGATGGGGCATAGGAGGAGAGTAGGATGAAGCACAAGGGAACTATTGATCTGCATGCCAGCTTCTTAAAAATGAAAGATGTGAGGTCAGAAAAGCCTCACTTGTTCTTCCATCTCTTGAAGGAAGGAACAAAGGAAGATTCCCCTTGTCTCTTAAACACAGAGATTCACTTAACTAACAAGTTAGGTGAGAAGATTGTAAAGCCTCTACCCCTCATCTACCTCTTGCAATTTGCCCAGGCGGTCAAAACAGCTCATATGTGTAAATACATGAGGCATAGACAGTATCTGTTAGTGGTTGGGAATACTGGATAGGCATGACCCTAATATGGAACAAAATGAAATTAGCTGCAGTTCTGTGCATAGTAGCCTGTAGATGTCACTATTGAATAGGAGAAACTTACATCAGTTTTTGAAAAGTTCATCATAGTTTTCTTATTTCAACTGAATAACAGAACAGAGTTGGAAAGGACCTAACAGGTCTTCTAATCCAACTCCCTGCTCAAGCTGGAGACCCTACCATTGCAGACAAATGGCCGTCCAATCTCTTCTTAAAAGCCTCCAGTGATGGAGCACCATTTAGTTACATTATATAGAAGCATCTGGAGTGTGCATGAAAGGTGCAATGATGAAAACAAGGCTGTGCCATCATGATGCAAGCTTGTATCTGCATTGTCGCATCAGACATACAATATAATGGGGACAGAAACGGTATCGTGATGGTGCAACACTGTTTTCATTTCTTGACAGAAGCATCAGATCCTGTAGGTACCTTTGCTTCCTAGACTATCATATCTGAAAGCTCATCCACGGACATAACTTCTGCTGGGATTCTTAGTGAAGCAAAGTACTATGTTTGTACACATGCACGCAAACAGCTGGGGACAGCCCTTAGAGCAATTTTGTGAGTCTCCCAACGAACATAACTCTCTTAATGCTTTGAGCAGGGATGTGTTGCTCACACTTAGCAATACATCTCTTTTTAACACATTATATAATTGAAACATAGGTTGCAATGGGACAAGGAGAAAGCAGAAAGTATTAACAACTCACAGCATGCAGTCGCAGATTTAAATTGCTATTTTGAAACTTTGAAAAATATAGTTCTGTTCTAAAATTAATTTTAAAAATGGTTAAACGTTCTTTGTTCAACTATAATCTATTTTATATCTTTATACCTGTGCATAGTAAACAGCTTCAAAATGACAAAATTCTGAAAGCAAAATCATATAATTACTGCTTTAAAAATACGCAACATATATTTATGAAATTATTTTGTGTTATATATAAACTCATGTTCTCTCTTCTTTTGCAGGATTCAGAATATTCCCAGATGGAAAATATCTGGATATAATTTTAAGCATTTGTAAATTAGACAATAATCACAATTTGTTTCAATATGTTAAAACAATATGTTATATAAGGGGTTGAATAACAATATACAGTATTTATTGTAGACCTGATCCATTTATATTTTTCTGATATTTTTTATTAATTTATTTAACTGATACTTTTATTAGTTTGTTTAGCTGATACTTTACTCTTCAACAGAGAGTCCAAGATACTTTAAAAATAGTTTATATGAATCAGCTTCATATTATAAAACAACCAATAAATAAAAACCATTATAAAACATGTGTTTCGCCGTAATTCATGAATGTTAAGGATCCAGAAGCCCAGATGGAAAGTTTGTCACACAGAGCTCTTGACAACTGGTTTTACAGGAAAAGGTACTGGATTTTTGCTGAGCTAAGGAATGTGTCTTTTGGGAGCCCTGCCCCCTCCCCCCTCCCCCCTCCCCTTTTAGCAGGAATAGTCATCTTCCTGATAATTTAGGATTATAACCACATAAATCTCATCCAGTGGGGAGAATAATCAAAGATTGTAATCAAATCTCTGAGGATAAAAGTCATGACATAGTAACGTTCATATGCTCAGTTTGCTGAAGCTGCAACAAATGTCTTATTATCAGACTTCTTTTAATCAGTTTCTTTTGCCTCCAGATAGAGAACTCAAGGAAGGACAAATGAAGTAGTCACGTTTGTATCTTTTGAGTCTTCCCAGGATTATTGATTACTGTTTCTTGTATCTGGCTACAGGCACTGATAAAAGGAGATTTTTCTAACTGATGGTGAAATCCTTCTGAAAAATCAATTAATGGCAATCCTATGCACAATCACCTGGAAATAAGTCTTATTGAATCAGTGGGACTTAAACCTTAATAAGCGTATTTTAAAATAAAAACAGTATAGAGTTGAATTGTACAGTGACTACAACTAGCTGATCAAAACCACTCTTATCTGGTTTTCCCAGCGTCTACTGTCAATATGACTTCACCTACGTGTTAGAGCTCATTGCCTCCAGCAAGTCATACTTCAACTCTCCTCATTTCGCAAGAGCCTTGTTTCCCCACCTACAGGAAACTCCACCTCAGAGGCAGCATATCAGGAATTTGCTTCCTAAAGAGGCCAAAAGTTAAAGATCCTGTCTGCCAAGTCAGGCTGACAAATAGTATGACTAAGCCCTATTGTGCTGGAAGCCTTCAGCAGAGTCTGGTGGGGAGGAGAAAGCCCAGGCCCAAGGCACACTCGGGCCTTAGCTGCTTTCAGTACAAAACGGAAATGCCCAGCTGACACAGGGCAATAGTTCATAATTCAATAATGTGCCCCCCCCCCCCCCCCACCCCAGTATTTGTCGGCCTTTAGTCAAGGCTTGTTTGTGGCTTTTATTTTCTGCTGCTGTAGGCAAATGAAAAGTTGCTGTACTGATGGCTTTCTATGTCAAATGATGAGCAGCCTACCAGCCTATTATTATTTTTATTCTACTCTTTCTCATAGTTATTTTCACATCTATCAGCTTTGTTTACCTGGTTGGTCCCAATCCTACTATTTTAATTCAACCCTGCTATTTCAAAAGAGTGCTGTTGCACCAGCAGCTTCTTTTCCCTCCTTAGGAAAAGTAATACAGCTTCAGTTAATAAGACTATAGAGAATTAAACACACTAGGTTCAACCACCATTTGCATTTCCCTGTCATTTGGGGTGAGCAAGCACATTTGAAATGGAATATGTGTTGCAGATGAAAACAAGTATCCATATACATAAAGTAATAAGCTTAGTTAATCATAAATAATACTAATTTCCCAGAACACAAGTCTGAGGTCAAAAGGAAGATAATTGCTAGCCAGTCAAGGTTGGCGCAGTCTGGAAACCAGGAGTTTTGAACTACACTTAAATGTGGTAAGAGTTTTGCAACAGAACCTTGAAAGTCTGTAACATGTCTCCAGGTCAACCTATCCATCTCCATTTCTATCAAAACCAGATGGAGTTGTTTTGAGTTCCTTTTTCACACTTTCTACTTTCCAGGACTCAGAATATGTGTAATGGTTTTAGCACTCTCGTCTCCCTTTTCTGAGTCATACCAAACATTCCATCACAAACCTAAGTCTAAAGAAGATAACAGATTCTGAGTTTTAAACACCTAAGTTTTTCTTTGAACCCACAGTTTTCTGCTGCAATGCTTGTTTTAAAGAAGAGAAATAAATGGGGCTCAGTGTCAAATAACTTGATCAAGCAACTGAATGAAAGGCAAAGATGGGGTTAGGGATACAAATGCCAAATCACATGGGTTTTTTTTTTTCTACAGTTCTCAACAAAATATCCATTACACAAAAATAAATCGGCATTTGACATTGCTCACAGCCCTAGGTTTAACAAAAGTTTAGCTCGGGGTCAGTTTCGATACTGAATTCTACTATAGTTATGACCCCACAGTTGCCAGGTGCTAATACCAATTTTGAGTTGAAGAAGAAGGTCTGTTTGAGGAATTGGCAACCAGTGTATTGTTTGGCATGCACTATTCAGAACCAAAGTCTACCAATTTCTTCCAGTGGTTAATTTTCTATACCTTTTTTTTATTCCCCAGCAACTAAAATCAGTAAAGCAGTCAGATGTTTGAAAAGCACCGATGTTGCAGAAAAATGATCATACTTTTTGTGTTGTGTAATGTGTCACCATAGCTACAAAATAAAAACACTCCATAAATTCATTACGATATACTTTTTAATGCCAAAGAATAGTAGGAACGTCAGCATTAGGGATGGGGTTTTATATTTTTACATGTTTTAGATGCTAGCAAAATATTTGGAGAAAGAAATGTTGTTACTACTTTTTAAAGGAGGGCAAGCTAAACACATGACCATAAGCCAAAGTAATAACTTGGACATATACAACATACATGCCTACCCATGTCATCTCCTCCTTTGGTTACTTACTCACTACAATGCACTGCTAGCACATGAAAGGTTACATCACTGACAGTGATCAATACAACCATATTTTTAAAATTTATATCTACATATATTTTATGTGGATGAGGCTGTCACTTTCCTACCTATTTCTGGTTTTGTTTTTCCTACAGAAGTGAAAAGAAAGCTGGCAGTGTTTTCTTTCATCAGAGCTGGTGCTATATAGATAGGCTTGGGAGGATGTGTGCATTTATACCTGGTTTTAACCCTTCCAAATGGCCATAGAAATATACTTTTGGGCCCTACTTTCATGCTACCTCTCTGGACTGCAAAAATCTAAACCACCATTAGTAGGCAGAATATTTTATTCAGATTTTTGCATTCTAGATATGAAAGCCCTATTCCAGGATTTCATGTCAATCATGAGCATCAGGTGTGACAGTTAACCTACAGGTATGAGTTTGCATGATACAGTGCTGGGGAGTAAGGCGGAGATTTAGTTGAAATTTCAGTTTGTTTAGGGCTAAATTAAATGTTAGAGTTTCGCTTAGCCTCCACCCTACCTCATCCCCCAGTTAGCGAAGTACAAAAGGAACCAGTACATTCTTGTCTATAATATGGGATAACTTAAAGAATATACGGAGATAGGATTGTGCTTCAGATCTGAGAAATTGTTATGCCTTATGCAATCCTAACCTATTTCCTAGTTTTTTCACGTCTGTTTCTAATTTCAGTGTTTTTTACAACCTCTTTGCCAAAGAGGTTATAGAAAAATGGTTTTAAAAGTTAAAAAAAAAAAGGGCCATGCCCATCCAGTCACATTAACACCCCCCCCAAGCCACACCCACAGAACTGGTAGTAACAAATTTTAGATTTCACCACTGGTGCAAACTATAGTTAAGTGTTCGTGGAAATAGAGATAGTTCCACAATGAAATGCAGTTTGTTGTGACCAGTTGCAAGAGCACAACAATGCAACTGTGTTTGTATCCTGTGCATTGCTTGCCAGCATAGACCTAGAGATGAAATTGCATCAGGAGCTTACAGGTATTAGTCAGAGCCACATACATTTCATTTGTGGTTGGGGAAAGCATCAGTATGAACAAAAACATGGATATTGTTAGAAAGACTGTCTTGGAGCTCTAGACCTGAGCCTTTAGGAAAATAATCAGGACAAGCCTTCTCAAAAATTGACATCTGGCAAATTTAAGCACCAGCCAAATAGTGAATCATGGTCACTCTCTTGGGCTGTGAATCTTGAGCAACTGAGACTCAAGCTCTGTTGAACCCACTATTTTTGCCAACTGGAAGAAAAGCGTGGCTACAATTGATGGCAAAAAAATTGTAATTAAGAAACAGAATCAGTTTTAAAACAAAAGATCTCACATAAATGGTGAAAGAAATGTATCCTATTGGTTATCAGACTCTCAGGAGGCGGGGATCTTAGCTAACTTTGTAGGCTGTCTGTGTCCCAGGCTTTGTTGAGTCTTGCTGGGTGATGATGTAATGAAGAGGCATGTGTTCTGAAAGGGTGTTGGGCAATTTCTATTATGGCTTAATGGCTTTGTCCTGGTTTGGATCTTGAGTGAGGGCTAATCCTAGCATCCTGGAGCTGAAGGCCTTTTGTCTTGTAGATAGGTTGGCACCAATCTGCTGGGGGTGGGGTTGGGGGCAGGGTGCTGAGGCTCTGAGTTTGTCTTTAGAAACATATTTTGCCTTTAGGGAAAATATAATATTCTGCCTTTTTAATATTTCCTAGAATATTTCATTCTTCTAGGAGAAGGGTGGGTGCTAACTTCCTACATAGGTAATACTGAATTTCAACTAAAAGAATTGTTTTTGGAAATAACTGGGTGCTCTTAAAAACTCAGTTTATGTTATCAAATCACACAGAATTACAGTATTAGCATGATACCAAGAAACAAAATCTATTACAGAGATGAGGTTATCCAAGTGAAGGGTGGCTTATTTGCCAGTAGTTCCTACTGAATTCTATAGGATTTGTGACCCAGTCAAGACACAATTCAGCATGTCTTTCATGCTGCCGGAGGCACTATATAATCCAGTATATAATTAAAGGGAATGTGTGTAGAATGTCCCTGAGCATTTTAATCATGTTTTCCTCTCTGCTGGGAAAATAAGTTTTTCACAACATTAAGCATTTTATAAACAACTTTTAGAAAGTGACATTTTCAGAAAATAAACACTGCAATCTTTCTCCAGTAAAAATTAAAAAACAAACAGGAATAACTTCAGCCACAAATGTGTCCTAAGACACTGTCATATACTTTCGCCCACATATATTGAAACAATGGCCTTTATGCAATCATTTAGAGGAAAAACAGAAGTGCCATGCCTGAGGCCATTTGTAGCTGGCTTAGCTGTACCCAT